AATAATATATTTGCACAAGTCTTCAGCAACCTTGCTATTTTTCTTCGAGTATTGAGTGCTCTGTGTTTATGTGCCATTGAGTCACTTGCTGTTTACTCTGTTATTGACCTGAAATGACCAATAATCTTGCAATGATTCTTTCTAGACAGATATGTCATTCTTGGAGGTCACCGAGATTCATGGGTGTTTGGTGGGATTGACCCTCAGAGTGGAGCAGCTGTTGTTCATGAAATTGTGAGGAGCTTTGGAACACTGAAAAAGAAAGGTAATATAAAGAGAGAGTAAAAAGGCCAGCCTCTCAGTCTCAATTTTATTTTGTGCAAAGTGAGTGTAAAAAAAACCCACCCCATAGGTTTGCGTAAAGAGTGAACTGAGAGGATGTACGAACTGTATCATCTTAGTAGCACGGAGTACGTCGTAGCATAAAGTAGTTTTCAATAAATAGTAGCTCTAGTACTTAGGTTGGTTAGTTAATCATACTGTTTATTTTTGCATTTATTTCTACAATACTTATTGATACTCACATATTAAATTTTAATCTAAATGAAAGGATTTATACTCTTACTGGTTGCTTTTGGCAGCTAAGGAGATGAAGATGGATTTCTTCACTAGAAAGGACACACTAGGCTTAGGTCATAAACCAGAGCTCCCTGGTCAGAGAACTGTCTGCAGAAGTTCCTCAGGCTCTTCCAGCCTCACACCTCAGGTCAAGTGTACTAAGTAACTGAGGAGATACACTCTCTATTCAGAAAAATACTGATCTTGTTGCCTAATAGGATTCTGTCAGAAGTTTGGTATCTGTGTTCGCACACCCCCAGCCCTGGTTTGTTCTGCCAGAAATTAGGTTCATACTCATAGCGTCATCACTCCCGTCATCTTAGAATCTTCATGTGAAAACCAACATAAAATTCAGTTCAAATGGTTATTTTCTTAAATAATCATTACACATTGAGAGCAGAAAGTCCATTTTACTGACTCTGCAGACAAGGTGTGTGGGGCTGTAAAATGTAATCCATATATTTCAATGGTAAATGTATGGAAAGTTTACATGGTACTTTTTCTCAGAGAAACAGTGTTTTCACATGTGTTACCTCTTTTCAACCCATAACAGCCAAGGCAAAGTTGCCTTAGTTATTTCTGCTCTCATTTTATAGATAAGAGAATCAAGTAATTTGCTCAGGTTAATAATATAGCTAGTGTGTGGCAGAATGAGAGAACCAGGGCTTAAAGTCAAATTTATGGCTACTAGTCCACCAAAGCATGATGTCTTCATTTAACATAAAATGCAAAGGCGCTTAATTTTTTTCCCCACAGCCACCTTATATTTTAAGAAAACAAAGCAATGAAGACCTGAATGTACGTAGTTCATGAACTAGGTAGTATTTAAACTTGTTACAAAAAGTTTTATGATTTTGCAAGAAAATTCCTGTGGGAAATACAGAACATCACTGTGGCAATTATAGAGTATGACAAAAGAAAAGAATAATAATGAATAGAAAATTTGAATAATATTATTAAACTGGACAAAAGTAGAACACTAGAGTCAACAGCCACTTAGTAAGCACACATGAAATATTTAATGACAACTTACAATTTTTGGAGCACTTATTAAATGCTTTATAAACATTATTCCACTCAGTCCTCCCGATTATCAAGTGATGTCTTCATCCCTACTCTGTTATTCCCAGTACACATGGAATACAGATGAAAAAACAGAGGCTTAGTAAGTTTGAATAACTTTTCCTCAGTACATTACTGGTACGTGAGAAAACCAGGATTTTAAACAAGATTTTTCTTAAATTCCAAAGTCAGTGTTTATAACCTCTAAGGCCTATGACCTCCCTTTTGACTTCCATAGTTTTCAGCAGCAGCAGCAGACATTCTATTTTAACTGAGTCCCGTTGTCTGATTCTGGCAGAGAATGGAGTGAAATCACTCAACCAGCTGAGCTTGAACAATTAATTGTTCCTGTGATATCAGAACAATAGGGAAGAGTTCTCAAAGATTTTCTGTTATATCTGCTCTCAGAACACTGACTGCATCTAGCACTTTTTTCTTTCATTCTAGGCAGCTGTAGACCCCAATGGCTTCCTGTTCATAGCCAATCATACACCTATTAGAATATTTTATGACCTTGCAGGAGCTTTACTATGTCTATATATTTTTTCACTTTGCAATACAATTGTGCTATTTATATTGCCAAATCAGCTTTGAATAAACAAAAGGAAATTATATAAGTAAAGATTCTCACCACAATTTTCTCTTTCCAAACAACCAGTGAAGGCTTTGTTTTTGTTCTGTTTTTTTTTTTTTTTTCTTTTTCGTGACTGGCAACGGGATCGCAACCCTCGGT